AAAACATAACGAGACAGTGAGGAATAAGCATGAGACTCTGAAAAGGCTGATTGATGCGAGTTAATTCTTGGGTTGACAGGAGTTGTCATTTATGTACCCGATCCATCAATCCACCCATCTTCTGTAACGTCTTGTCCTATTCAGGGTTGCAGGTAGGGACACGATGGGAGAGAAAACTCTGACAACACAGGAAACTCTAGGGATTTTACGTATGTGCTTTCCCGCTATGGAGATGTTCTAGCGGGTGTGTTTGTGTTGCGCAAGTAATGTAAAACAAACCAGTAATGTAAAGCTGTGTAGCATACTAATGCTTTAATCGAATCATTCCATTAATTAGGGGTACCTATTGTTTTCCCTCGGATAATTATTTTACTTTCATTTTACTTTTAATTTCTATGATGATTGTATTTCAGAAAATCATGCACCTATTGAAAGCATTTTTCTCAGCATCGCTTTCTAAGTATATGCTCACCCAATTAATAGTTAGTTACTAACACATAGTTACTGCACTGCAAAAAAATTAAATTTAAGCAAGTATAATGTTATTATATTTACACAAAATTCTAATTTCATTATCAAACTGACTAAAACACACCTTATGAATAAGATTTAATTTAATTGCATTTAGGCATATCATCTTATTTTAGGAAATAAAAATACAATTTTCTTACTGCACTGACAGATAATTTTGCTAGTTTTAGGCCAACTTGCCTCAAAACAGAAACAATTAATCTTACATTTCACAGCCATTTTTTGCAGTGTAGTCAGTTTGTTTTTAATGAAATTAGAATTTTGTCTAAATTGTAGTTGCTTAAACTTTCATTTTGTACAGTGTGTTCTGACTTATCTCTCCTGTTGTAGGATGTGAAAAGCACAGAAATATGTTCTGGGGAAAAAATGATGCGGGGAAAAAATCTACCTTGAAATCTGAAATACGGGTTTGCCAAAAACCATCCAAACTGGTTTATTTTAAACTTCCTCATAGTTTATGTTTGACTGATATACAGTTGAACAACATGTTAAAATTCAACATTGCTATAATATTAGAAATATTTACAGGTGGAAAGGCCAGACCAAGTTTAGAGATCTAGAAGGAGAAGGTATGCATTTTCTATGATAATTAACACTTTAATTAGAGATGGCAAGTTAAATAAAAAACAATAACTGTAAAAATATCATATGTAATGATGTAATGATCCACAAGATATCGGTCAGAATATGTGCTTTCACTTGTAAGGTCTGTGCCCATTGGAACAGAATGTCATCAACATTTAAGTATATGGACATACTGGTGTTTATACCTGTTTTTTAGTATGGCACCCCCAAGTGGCCAAATTTCATTAAACTCAGCGTGTGCCATCCAGGCATCATGGTAATCATTCCTACTGGGTCGTATGCCAATGAACAGAAACACTGCAGAGATATGGCCCTTAGTATGTTTTGTGGGTACACTGTGGCCATATTTTTCAACCTGATAATTATCCTTTAACAACTCAAAGAAAATGGTCCAAAGAGGTAATATGCAAAATGCCATTGTGACATAAATCTAGCAAGAGATGGTTAAATGTGTTTTTGATTAAATCAAAGATGAAGGAAGTGAATTTAAAGATCTGTTTTTATGCCAGAGCAATGGGGATTGAAATGTTTCCTAATAGTATAGCGCCCCAAGTGGCCAAATCCCATGAAACTTGGTGCATACCCAGTATTCCTAATTGCGACAAAGTGTACCAAGTTTGGTATCATTCCAACAAAGCACTGCTGAGACATGACTCACTTCCTGTTTTGGCATCTTTTACCATCAAATTTCATTTGATCACTGTGGCTATATCAAACAATCCATCGCAATTCTTTTGACAACTTTTGGACTGAATCCTCTCTGGATGGTTGACAATTATACTATGAATGATCTTGGACTAGTCCACAAAAGTAGTCTTTTCGAAAAACTCAAGATTACTGCTGAGATATGGGCTTATTTCCTGTTTGGTAGGTTTTTTTTTAATAATAGTACCCCGAAGTGGTAAAATTTGGGCAAATTTTTCTGGACTCCCTTTGGGTGAGGTCTTGAGTCAGTCCACCAAGTTTGGTGTAGATACATAAAAGTGTTTCTGAGATATGGGTATATTTCCTGTTTGGCAGCTTCATCATTGAAATTCATTCAATGTCAGCAGCCGTATCATATGCCCTGGCAAAATTCCTTGAATAATTTTTTATCAGGACCCTCTGTAGATGATATGTACCAAATTTGTTGGTGATAGCATCAATGCTGTAGGATTAGTTTGAAAAAGTAGATTTTTCAAAATTTTGAAAATGACGAAAAATATGGCATGCATTTTGGTCTCTCTCTAAATAAAAAACAAACCATAAATCAAAACTTACCTACCGTATGTTTGCATGGCTGAAATCAAAAGTACAAGGGTTGGCACTCACCCCTCGCCTAGGGCGTCTTGGCATAGGGAACTCTATGTGGTGGCATGTACAGTATGGGCGCGCCTCTACTTCCCTGTCTAGACCGTGGAGAGCTGGTGACCATCACAAGTCCATCTTTTAATGCTCATTCACATAAGGAGCGCAGTGTTTCACTGCAGACAACATCTAACAAGAATGGTGGAGGGTCTCATTCTTCCCTCTGTGCTTCTCGCCCCCTTTTGAATCCATAGCTCCTCCTCCCCAGTGCATTGATAGGCTGCCACCAAAGGAGAGCATATTTATATCATGCCCGGCATTCCTGGACCTGCTCACAAGAAAAGAATCACAGCATCACAAGCAGAGCACACCTACAGGCTCTTGCATGTAACAGTGAGCAGGCAAAAAGATTTAATGATTGTGCTACAATGAATGACAATACAGAGAATCCACACTAAAATCTGACTACCTTTGCCATATATGGTAACACTTCACTTGCGGGGACGCAAATAATATAATATTATGCTCTCGATTAATCCTGAACCAACTATTACTTAAATAATATATTTCATAACTTTATACTTTTTTTAATAAGAAGCAATAACCCTGAGCTGCGGAGTCCTCCTCCTCAGTCAAACTATCTGCTGCATTTCTGATTGCACCTTCCTTTGCAGCAAACCACAGAACCAAACTGACTCTTACAAATGAGCTTTTACAAAGGTAATGTCAACTAAGTTTCCACACTCCAGTCAGTAACAAAAATTTGAATAAAAGCCATTCATACCCAGGGGCGGCTCTAGAGAAATGTTCTTAGTGTGGCATGCAGATCAAATGGGGTGGGAAAAGCAAAGCCTGTCACGCCCGGCTCGTCCGATCCTCGTGTGTGCCACGCCCCCTCATTACCTACGTGTGCTACCCCGATTGTGATCACCTGTTGCCTGTTATTTTCTGCGTATCCTGTGTATTTAGTCCGTGTCTGAGTTAGTGTTCCCCAGATCTGTCATTAATGTTTGTTGCCATCTCCTTAAGAACGTCCTCCAGTCATACCTATTAATTTTGTAGTGAAGTGGGTGTGCTCACTTAGTTTACCACTATTTGTTTATCATGTAGAATAACTCCGCATGGCATTTATAATAAAAAAATCTTAATTATCCTATTTGACATTATTCTAATTGCAGCGATTCTTAATTTTTTCACTGCTAATAATGTTTTTCGAGCAATGAAGCTTTTGGACAGCTGAGAGCTAAACCTGACGTATTTTCCCATTCAGGTGTGCGTCTGGAAAGGCCATTTTCTACACTAGCAAGAGGTGTGAGACACAGCGGATAAGTGGAGATATGGCAGGCGTTCTGATTGGTGGAGTGGCAGGCGCTTTTGTTTTTGCTGTTATTATTAGACGCCAAGCACATAAACCTGGACTGGAGCTTGTCAGGGTCAGCCTCGGTTGTCCCACTCTGTGTCCCTTCCCTGTTTGGCCAGCAGGCGCTGCTGGTTCTCCCCTGTTACCTGTCTGGCCATGTGGCTCAATGCGTTGAGCATGTCGTTGCCTGTGATCCTTGTCCTGTGTTCGAATCCTGCCTCCTCTGTTTCTGTATTTTGCTCCCTAGTGTTTCATTTGAATTTTTCTAGTTTTTTAATCTGGTGATTTTGTATTTGGTTTTTGGTTTTGTTCTATGTGCCCCTGCTTGTGTCTTTACCTGTCTGTAATTCCCAGTGTTAGTTTCTGTTTCCTTGGATAGTTCTTAGTTTCCCTGTTTTTAGTTCCTTTGAGTTTTTTATTTTCACCTGTGCCTCGTTTTCCTGGTCTTTGTTAATTAGCCTCACCTGTCCTGTATTAGTCTCGTTACCCCTTAGTATTTTAGTTCCTGCTTCTGTTCAGTTCCCCAGTGGTTCTTTGTTGTTGCTGCTAGATGTTACCTGCCCTGTTTTTGTTGTAGTCTTTGTTTACTTTTGACCCCCCGTGGTCCTTTGTTTTTGTTAGTCCTTTCTTGTGTGTTTAGTATCGTTAAATAAACCCCATTTGTTATTCTCGGAGCTACTAGTGGGTCGTCCACCTTTTTTGTGCCTGTGTCATGCCACGTTCCCGCACCAAACCCGTCCGGGTCCATGACAAAGCTAACATATGCCCAAAGTCTAGCAACCGTTAGAAATGTCTATTTCATGTTGAGGTTGTATAGGTTTATTACTAAGGTTGGTTACCATGTCCAAACAATTTATCTTTAGGTCCCCATGGTTTGTGAAAATGCGTTGTTTACAAACTGTATGCGTCACAAAAATTGTAAATTTGGTATTTTAATTTGCTTTACTTTTCCACCATTATTAGTATTAATATTTTAATCTAAATACCCTCATCTTATTCATGTATTCAGATATTTGGACAGTGCAGTGCATAAGAGTTCTGACAAAATGGGTTAATGGGCTATATCATGCATCACTGTATAATTCTATGGGTACTTTCTTTGACAAAAAACATTTAATTGATTTTTGCCTTCATAACATGTAATAAGTAACACATAAAGTGGTACATTTTTAGAAACTAAAACTACCTTTTTCAGATTTCCCCCTTATTCATTTAGAAATCTGAAAAGAAACATTCAGACACATTGTAATAGTTTTATTATAGATAATGTTACACAGCCCAAAATATGATACACAAAATTGATTATATTATTGACACCATATTACATTATTAAAATAGGCTGAATAATTACCACAATGAGATAAACCTGACAGAATACATATTTCATTATACTTCATTGATACATATTTCATTATACTTCCATTAAAAATGGAGAGAGACTAATATTGCTACTGAAAACATAAGTGATTAAATACAGTGTTTGTGTTCACAGAAAAAAAGAGAGATAAATCTGAATATCCAGTGACTCAAGTGACAAAAAACCAAAAATAAAAAAATTACCGTATTGGCCTGAATAAAAGACGACTCTGACTTTTTTGGCATAAATAATTTTTAAACTAATTTTAATGTGAACATTTCTGGAATACTAAATCTTCCCTTTATAAAGAAAAATAATAGTATTTAAAAAGCAACCACAGGCAGTCAGATTACAAGTGTTTTAAACATCCAACGTTCCAAAAAACAAATATATTATTTGGAGGAGGGATAATGAATATTACAAACTCAACAACCCTTATGGCACAGAATGGTTTCGATGCATCAGACCCATATGAAAAGAGTAAAAAAATTATTAACAGCCACTATAAGCTTAATATTAGCAGCAGCACAGTCAGAGAAATCAACAATATACACGCCACTCAGGGATACACACTGTATTAATTTCTAATTAATAATAATATATTATTATTATAATTACTTTTCTATTTAATTTTTTTGTAAAACCATTTAGCTGTTTCTGAGAAAAATTCGCACCATCAGTTGAGCAACCAGGCAGCTAAGCACTGATTAATGCATCCGAAGCCCTAAGACTTGTTGAAGAATCAGAAGCAGAAACATCTGAAAAATTAAAAGCATTGGATGTTTTACTCCAAATGGCAAATTACACTGATTAAATTCCACATGTAGCACCAGCATAACGAAAAATATTTCAAGTCTCCCAAATCTTTATAAAGCAGACACAAAGCATCCTAATCAGAAAGCAGAGCACGGTCGGATCTAGAAGTGGGCAGTGGTGGGCAATGCCCGCCCAAATTTCTGCTCTGGCCACCCAATTGGTCAACTTTATCCCACACCATCTGCATCTGCCAATCACCTTTATTTAATTTGTCCCATCGGATATTCTTCTGCAGAGCATTTATACTCGCTTGAGAAAATGGAGGAGGAATTTTGCCTTATTCTTATCAAAGGTCCTTCTTGTTAAAGTTTATATTTTGTTGCTGTAGTTTGCTGTAATGTTGTGTTGCATAAGGATCTTTGCCAGTTCTGGTTTAGTTAACTGTAAGATAGTTACGTAATGTTGCCATGCACGTACTGAGCGCTTCATCTTTGTGTCTTTCCCACAGTTATGTTCGGTCCTTCTTGCCCTTCCTGAGCCTCCCGCGCCTCCTGCCTGCCCTCCTGCCCTTCCCGTAGGTCCTCATGTGATTCCCCCAGTGTTTGTCCACGTCCTCGGACTGACTCACGGCTCTCCTTTTTGCCTTTTCCAATAAACCAGGTTGCCTGGAACTCTCTGTTTGTATCTTGTGTGGCATTACAGAGTACCTCGCTGTAACAATGGAGCCGCAGGATGTTCAAGCTCCAGCAGGCACAGGCTCAGATTTCCCGGCTGACCTATGTGGTTAGACAACTTCAGCTGACCACCGCGGCTGCGACTCCACTGCCTACTTCGCCCCCACGCCCTCCCGTAGCAGTGGCTCTACCTAACAGGTATGATGGCAACCCGGACCAATGTAGGGCTTTTTTGATGCAGTGTGGGCTGTACATAGAACATCATCCTGACCAGTTCCCCACGGATCGAGATCAGGTTCACTTTGTGATATCCCTACTATGTGGGAAAGCACGTACCTGGGTGACTGCGCTCTAGGTGAAGAATAGCCTTTAAGCCGCACTTGGGCATTAGCCCAGTGCGAGGTAATGTTGCCATGCACGTACCGAGCGCTTCATTTTTGTGTCTTTCCCACAGTTACGTTCGGTCCATCTTGCCCTTCCTGAGCCTCCCGCCTCTCCAGCCTGCCTTCCTGCCTTTCCGCTCTTCCCGTAGGTCCTCATGTGATTCCCCCAGTGTTTGTCCACGTCCTTGGATTGACTCCCCGGCTTTTCGACCTTCGGCTTCCCGTTTCTCGACCACGATCTCAGCACTTGCCGCACGGCTTGGACGGCTACTGAACGCGACCCTGGAACAGCTCACGACTCAGCACTTGGCGCACGGCTTGGACGGCTACTGAACGCGACCCTGGAACAGCTCACGACTCAGCACTTGGCGCACGGCTTGGACGGCTACTGAACGCGACCATGGAACAGCTCACGACTCTCCTTTTTGTCTTTTCCAATAAACCTGGTTGCCCGGAACTCCCTGTTTGTGTCTTGTGTGGCAGAACAATAATAATAATATTAATAATAATTTGTCTTTTTTCTGATTAGAGAGATGATCATGAGAGCATAATGTCGAGTTCATAAATTGTTCCAACATAAAACATGAATATACCCATAACCACCCCCCATTTCACTGGTCACAAGCCGCCACTGCACCGTAGTACTGTCCATTGTGTGAAAAGCTGCCCACCCAAAATTTCTAATTACCCCCCAACCTGAGCAGTCTAGATCAATGCCTGAAGCAGAGTATATCTCAGTAAAAACATTTGGAAAATAATAAAGCAGAGCAATTTAACTTACTTTGCCTCCTTCGTTTAATACGTTCAGCCAAAGAGGACAAAGATGGACCAGCACTTGTGCTCTGTTAGAGAGACAAACCACACATCATTTATCTTATCTCTGATACTTTTGTCATATTTACCTAAAGTAATACAATTTCTCAGTGAAATAGAATACTTGTTGTTGTTCTGAAAATGTATTATGTCATTTATGGTTAAAAACATATCTGCTACAGGCATATAAAATCACCTGAAAATATGTACTGTTTAAATGAAAAAAAAAATCATAGTCTAAGTGGTTTTGCGTGTTTCAAATGAAAATGGAAAAAAATGATGCAAAAAGTGTCTGCTGAAAACTGCAATCGAGAGGCGGAATACAAAGATGAACATACCCTTGTTCGGCTAGATAATGAACGCAAAAATGAAAATCTTCCAACAACTGCTGATCGAATCTGTGCACAAAGAAAAGGGATGTATGATGGTGGCTGGTACAATATAACATGTGTTTGCGTTACAATGTATAATAATACACAGCCAACAATATTCCAAATACAATATTAGTACTTACTTTGCTGTCTAAAAGAGTCCCAAATACTAAAATGAAGAACCCCTTGAAAAAAAAGCAAAAAGAATAATTGATATTTGCAATATGTACTTCTAAAGTTTAAAATTATTTCATTCTGAGAAATATTTTTTGATTTCAGTATATCAATAATGTTCTCTTTTCCCTTGCAATTATGAATGAATTATGAAAGGTAGATCCATAGAATTGTTATAATGAAAAAATGGTGCTTTTTTTCTTGGGGGGGGGTGCTATCTGCTGACAGACCCAACACTTCCTGTTGGGGTGCAGAGGTGTTTGCGTCAATATACAGTATGTGATGTGTGCTTGTATTTCTTTCTTACCATTTTGTGAGACTTAATGAGGTGAATGTTTTTTGTTTAAAGTGAACTTTTCTCATGTTTTTGTTTAGAAAGGGAGCTACTGTATGGTTGTGTAATACTTTTTGTTTTGCTTAGAGAGTTTGTTTTCATATACCATTTTTGGTTTGCTGTTTTGGCTTCACTCACCCCCCAAATACCTGGATTCCCAATATTAAAATAAAACTCCTTTTGTTAATTATAATTAAACATTGTGTGGTTCATCTTGGTCTGACAGCTGGGAAGTGAGGGAATGGAAGACATCATCCACAATTTTTTGTTCTTATATCTTTTTGTTGTTATGTATATTTTGTTCTATATATGTATTATAAATAAAATACTATTTTAATTTTAGAAAACAGAAACAGCAGGAATTACTTAATTTTTACTCATACCTGAAGTGAATTGAAGATTGTAAATGCAATGTGGACTCCGGGATTTGCGGGTGCCACCATGGTCCCTATGCCAAGTCCCCAGGTGATGCCAAAGATGGGAGTTAAAACAGCGACACACCTTGCGATGACCACCAGAGCATTCTTCTCATCAGACTGACGGTTCTCACCAACACCCCTCATCAGTGTTTTAAACAGAACCACAATTAGAATGAGCAGGTTCACAACGACGATGATCAAGGCTGGAATCACAAATGCCAGGAGGGCCTTAGTCTGGTACCAGTTCAACCAACATGCATCATCTTGCCTGAAGTAGCCATTTTTGGGGGCAGTGACTGCAATGGTGATTATGGCAATGATGAGTGGTGCCCCGTAGCCCACTGAGAAGGCGATGGCCATCATAGTGCTCTTTGACATGTGGGACATGCGGGAGAAAACCATCACGGTGCAGTAGAAGAGCAAGAGAGCTGAGACCAGCATCCAGAAGAACAAGGCAAGATAAAAGAAGTGAATGAAGAAGGTTGCAGCACTGCATGCATTCTTCGGTGTGCTCTGGCCTACGTTTGACACCGCTGCTCCAATGATGAACCATATGTTAGCAATAAGCAGAGACAGAGCAATGTTCACTATAGCGACATGTCGCATGTGTGACGTGCTGTTCTTAGTGACAACGCTCCACACAAATGCTTCAATTATAAGGCATAAGACCAGACATCCCATTGATATGCTGACTCCAATGTAGGTGATGTAATTCAGAGCAACCTCAATGTATTCAGGTACGTAAGGTGACATTAATATCGAAAAGGAAGTCAGGTGGTTACAGGAACAGGTGACACTGACATTCGTTTCAGAATCCAGTTTGCATCCAGTAGAGTCCCAGCCTCCGGTGCCTTCAAAAATTTTGAAGTTCCAAAAAACACACTGGTTGTTTCCCTTTGTTTTGTTTGTTTTATCAAATGTCAGTGAAACATTATTAATGGTTTCATTTACATAGGCTAACAAGACAATTCCATTGATGGAGTTGTTCGTACTGTTTCCAGTGGTCCTGTTAGGTAAGACAAAGTCAAGAGTCGTAAAGACGATTGTTGTGATAGCCATGTTGCTGGAAAGACCTTGACTTGGGATAAGTATCTGAGATGAATTCATGGCTTCATTGAAAGGGAATGTTAATGTTGTTTTGTTTAACTGAATGTTTGTTGTAATAATTGTAAAGGAATTGCTTGATAGGCTGTGTGTAATGTTTTCTATTGACTCCAGTAAAGCAGAACTTGTGTTTTGGGTTCTGTTGTTACTGTTCAGTCCTGCCCAGGATTCCTTAGCTTGGGCTGATACTAAAACTGATACTGTTTCCAAAACATCCTGCAAGTAAATAAATAAATAACAGAATAAACGGGTAAAGTATAATAATTATATTAAGTCATGGATTTTTTTCTTGGTCTCAAGTTCAGATGTTATAGTTGATAAACTGTTTTTTTTAATCAGTGCATTAAATCATAATTGTATTAAATAAACATAATTTCCTTCATATTTACACAAAGTTATGAAAGTAACATGGTGCTAATTCTTAAATTACCAATGCATAGCCAATACAAAGCAAATAACTAAAGCAACCCCCCTCCAAAAAACATTACTGCTTCAACATACCTGCATTGAAGTTTTGCTTATATTTTGTGAAACATTTGCAACTTTGCGAAGTATGTTCACAATAGAGATAATGGTGGCTGGTGACTGTGTTATGATTGTTGTATAATTGGTAGTGGTTATCCTAAGATCATTCACAAATGATGATACATTAGCTGAACTCAGACTCTGCGGACAGGTAAACAATTAAAAACAATTAAAAATGAGCAGAAGAATATTAGAAAGATTTTTTAAAAGCAAATGTTCATACCAAGTACCAATGCTTTGGAATAGTCGATAGCTTCCAATTAATGGAGTGTGTTCAAATAGTAAGATTTATAGAAAACAACACAGACTCACATTGCTAACTCACACTGAATTTGTTGATAATGATGACATGACTTCATCCTCATTGAAATTTGGAATTTTAAATGACCACAATGTTTTGATAACAGGCAACAGATAATCAAGTGGTCAAACAATAGAGCAATTAGTTCCTTAAAACTGAATTTTTGACAAAACATCAAGTTCTTTCCCTATAAATGGTTTCCTTGAAATGCAATACATAATGTAAGCTTAACCTATATGAAATGACACGGTGGCTGAGTGGATAGTACTGCTACTTCACATCTACAGGGCTGGGAAATCAAATCACACCTACGCCCTGTGTGTGTGGAGTCTGCATGTTCTCCTTATCACTGTATTATCATGCATGATGTGTGGAAACATATTGTAGTTCTTCAGAATGTCACAATGTATATATGATTAATGTACTGTATCACCTTATACTGGCTAAGCAGTATGACAACAGGTAGGTGGATGGATGATTAGTATTCAAAAGGTGTTACCTGAGAAAACAGTTCTAGTGTCTTTATTATGCTAAAGACACAATTGTCCTCCACAAGGGCCCAATTCCCATTTTCACAAACTGCAGTCCTGCTGCCTGTAAAATTGGCTGGGCAGGAAACAGTAGATGTATTTCCATTCTTCCCAAGACCATATGTTGTGGGGTCCTTACAGTCAGGTGCTTGAATAAATAAAGACAAAGTTGGATTAATGCTTTAAACTGAAAAGCAAACACATGCTTCTATTGGGATTACATAATAAGTACTTTTCAGAAATGGTGCTAATGGACAAAATTCATTGCATTGTGCATTTCTAACAAGGGGAATCAAAATTCAGTATCAATATGGTTTCATATGAATAAGGCCACCTTATTATCATACCTCCACTGAAAAACATTAGCGTTACATTTTTTGTCAATGTTTGAGTTGTAGATATTTTCTTGACAATCACTTGGCATGTGAGTTCCTTTGTATTGCATTGATTTGGTACTGGGTATGCAGCACTGACACATAGCATGTTTGTTGTGGTCTGTACTGTAAAATGAAAAACATCAAATGTACAATATTCAGCTGCAATGTTCAACAGATCGAGTATTCAAACTGGATATTAAATAAATGTATTCTTTTAAAGAAAATTATGCATACACTAATATCAAATAATTACTGCCTATGTAAATTATATATCCGTCGGACAATGTACAGGAACTTGGCAAAGGACAATAAAACAATTAGACATTTATTTTAAGTAATAAAAATTACCAGAGGGTATTTCAACAGAACCGTCCATCCATTTTGCTGTAACGTTTTTAATTAGGTAGTATGTAACACAACACTCCAATGGGATATTTTCATTTGCTCCACATGGAACATTAGTTGCTAACATGTTCAGCTGAATAATGGGAGGAACAACATCTGTCACTGAAATGGATTCCTCATGGGTGAATGTCAAGAACGACTGAGTCATTGTGAACATGTATATTCCTAGATTATAAAGAGAAAAACAACGGCAAAAAACATGGATATTATTCACAACTGACAGCAGATAAAAGTATTACCACATAACTTTTCACATCGATGTATTCCTGAATGCCAGGTGTGCAAACCAGTTTTTTATTTCATAATGCTTCTTTTGATAATAATGGTGCACTCTATCAATCACTTGGGTGGGTGGAATCAAGCTTGTGACTAGGTAAAGTGTTCTCGTGAAAACAATAGTTGAAATTTTTCCCAAATTTAGAGTTACAGTGGTTATGATTAAAAGTTGAAATATCAGATGGCAACCAATCTAATACAGACTGAACCCTTGAATAGATCAGTATAAGCCTAGGTGTATTTTGGTACTGAAAGGCCTTTTTTCACATGTACATTTGTACTGTGTTGACACAATATAAAAAAGGCCTGCCTACACGTTTTTTTAAAATGGGAATGTTTACCATGCTCAGAGACTGAAAAATGAAACATCCTATTACTATACATACTATAAAAGGTGTCAGTCCTCCTAAATACCTTTGTTAACAAAAATCTAAATGATTTTCAGAGATGAGTGATAATTAATTTTGTCATTTTTGGACAAAACTGAGTGCATACAATATGAGAAATAAAGTATTGAATGTATCACAGCAACATTAACCTATACATACATACACACACACACACACACACACAAAGGCTTGTAATTATATCTTTGTGGGGACTCTCCATTCTCTTCTTTGGGGAAAACTCTAATCATAACACCAAACAAAATTCGAGACCATTTTTACTTTTTTAATTGCATTCATAGATCTTTGCGGGACTCGAAAAATGCATCCAAAAATCAAGTTTTTATTAGATTGTGGGGAACATTTTGGTTCACCCTCAGACACACACAGTATACCACATTACTCACCATTTAATACCATTACTATTAATACTCTTTAATGTGCATTAATACGAGTTCACTTGTGGTTGATTTATTTTAACCTAAAAATAATAAGTTGGTAATCTGCTTACCATTGTCATCACCGCTCATGTCCTGAACAGTCAGTGTGGGAGGTGAATTGGTGATTGAATACTTTGCATTGTTTGACACCGGCAGACCATTCACGAACCATGACCCAGTTCCCATTTGCATAGTTACTGGAACCACACAAGTCAGCTGCAAAGTGGTACCAGGATATATAATATCATAGTTCTTTATAAAAGGCTGATTTCCTTAAAGAAATAAGGAGGGGAGAAGCTGTTAGCATGCAATCATACAGTAACAATCAGAGCTGCTGGTGCGTCGCACAAACCCCCCAGCATCCAGCATCCCTGGAGTAGCTGGGGTTAATGGTCTTGCGCAAAGGTTCGACAGTGATATGGTTACTCTGTTGGACATGGGATCCAAACTAACAACCATCTGGACACAAGCATTGACCTGCCATAAGTAAAATATTACTGCAATGTTTCTCAGTCCATTTCTTGTTCCCTCTCAGCTCCTAACACACCTGTACTGTACCAGGTACTTTGTGTTCTTCATTGGCTGGGAGCTGGAAGGTAGCAAAAATGTGGGCTGTCTGGGGCCCCCCAAGGACTCGGTTGGGAGACATTGTCAGACTTTATTCTAGAGCCCCCACAGGTCTGAAATGTCAGCTTGAACCCAGCCCAGCCCCGTGGTATGTCTGTCTAACCTGAGCCTGAACATTAATGGAATTTCTCAGCCTGAGCCCAAAGACCTAAATCAGGAATGAGCAACTTCAGTCTGCAGTCGGGCCATAAAATTTATTAACAGCTATGATGGGGCCAGTCAGACTGTGGTATTGGCTCAGAAAACACAAGCAATATAAGATTGTACCGCAACCATTTTTAATTGCATTTATTTTGTAATGCAATATTTTTAGAACTAAACCCTACAGCTTTCTGTAGTTAAGCTGCAGAACATCTCAAATCAGCCTATAATAACTCAAATACATATGCATACAGTAGGCTTATATGTTAACAAGAAATCAACATTTTGTTTGAAAATACTACCAAAACACTGTATACTGCAGCATACTATAAAATACACGCAAGGGAGAAAGATATGAACTACGCAAAGAGCTTTAAACAACTGCTCAAAACATTCGGCCCAGGGGGTCACAACGGCACTGTTATCTGTAAGGAGCATTCCATCACCCACCCTGACTGCAAGTCTCTGAAGAACAGATTCAGATGTGTGTAATGCTTCGATTCCTCTGTAAGCAGGATGTGGGTCAATAGACCACAGATGCTGTGTGACCTGCTCACAGATTCGTCTAACAAATGCCTCCTTATCTGCCCTCTGAGGCTTCACAGCCGTCCTCCTCAGTTTCCGGTACAGACTAGAGTTGCCACTAAGTTGTGCCCTGCAACTCCTCTCGATAATATCCAGCGTCCCCTGCGAGACGAAACACCTCCTGTTGGGAACACTGGCAACACCAACACAACCCATCGACAACCATCATGGTCTTATCACGGAAGGTCTTCCACATCACAATAGTGTCAGCAGTTGCACCCAAGTCTGCAAGTTCCTCACACAAACTGCGTGCAAACTCATCAGAAACAGCTTCATCTTGGAGCCTGGTTAAGTCCAGCCTCATTCTTGTAGTAGGTGGTAGCCTACTATATCTAAGTTGAATCTTCAGAGTAGCAACAACAAGTCTATGGTCAGAATTTACAAACTGTGCACTTCTGTATACCCTGCAGTTTTGCAGGAGCCTTTAGCATCTACCCACGAGGACATGATTGATCTCCTTCACCACACCACCAGTATTAGAGTACCAAGTTCAATGATGCAGCTCAGGGTGTTGGAAGCAGGATCCAATGACCCACGGCCCCTGACCTTTTGCAAAGTTAAGGAACATGAAGCCACTTTCACCCTGGTCTCCAGACACATGGGGACTGACACAATCCTCATAGCCAGCTCTGTCAGTGCCAGTGGTCGCATTGAAGTCACCCATGAGCAGAGGAGTGTCACCTCATGGGCACCCATCAACCACCGAGCAAAGTTATGAGTAAAATGTCTTCCTCAATGAGACATCACACACTGCGGTCAGAGCATATACTGAGACAACAGCCAAGACATCCAAGGAGTGCCTTAGCCTGAGTCTCATAATACGCTCGTTGAATGGAGTGACATCAGACACCATCGGGAGGAGCTAATCTACTACAGCAACAGCTACTCCCTGATTATGGCAGCCATCAGACAGACCAGACCAAAAATGGGTATACCCAGCTACAGAGATCTGGCCATTCCCTAGTCTGCATACCTCAGAGTGCTGGCACCGAAATGTGGAGTTTACAAAGCTCCCCCGACAGCAGATGGTCATCTTGCCGAAGAGACAAGACGTTCCATGTACCTACCTGGATAGGCCGCCTCAAACTGGAACCCAAGTGCCACCATGCAGCCGGTGATGCCTCAGCACCACACCAGCCTTGATCCGCAACAGGCCTGACCCTATTAGCTCTCTGACGGTTTCGACTCGTCCGACCAAGTAGAAAGAAATAAAGTTTCTTAGGCCTGGCCAGGTACTACCAATGCTTCTGTAGAAATTTCTCTGATGTGGTTTTGCCCCTCACTTACTTGCTTGGTAAGAACGCATCATTTGAATGGTCCCCAGATTGTCAGACTGGGTTCACCTCAGTGAAAGCTCTTTTTAGTAGCTCGCCAATGTTAGCAGTGACAAGGTTTGACAAACCGTTTAAGTTAGAAGTGGATGCCAGTGCTTTTGGAATGGGGGCAATTATTTTACAGGAAGATGATAATGGGCACAACCACCCAGTCTGCTACTTCTCACGGAAGTTCCTAAATTGCCCAATCAAGAAGGAAGTCCCAGATTTTCCAGTTTGGAATGATGAGTACATTTTGCACTGCTCAGCCAGCACAGTTACCAGTACTGAAGTGGAGAGTGAAGGGCGGACGAGAACTTTACTCAGAAAGAAGGGGTGAGGGTGAAGACTATTGCTACAGAACTAAACGATATTGTGATATTAGTCACCTTTGCGCTGTTACACGGCCGAGTGATTTAAAGCTCAGAGCCCCCCTCCCCGCCCCAAAATTGTTTTTCTTAATTTTTTGTAAGTACCTGTAAATTTTGTTTTTGTGTTAAATGCATATGTATCGATATAGCATTAAAAAATGGTATCTCAAATCCTCTTCTCTATCCATTGTGTCTCTTTGTAAATCTTGTGTCAGACATTTAGGATAAAATGTCTTGTTGCTTTAAAAAGGTTGCCAACCTCTGAACTAGCGTAAGTGGATTTGGCCGTGCACTAAATGAGCTCAGACGATACGCTTCACACCCGTGCACTTCAGATCGCTATTACATAACCCATAGTTTGTAGTTATACCAACAAATATTACGTATCACTAATTTTTATATACTATATCCAAATATACTATCCAAATACTACATCCAGATCATTTTCAGTAATGTTTTTAGCTCATGCGTCGTCTACGAGTTTCTGCAATCTTTCAACAAGCTCCAGAAATATTTCCGTTTAACTGTTCACAGCCACCCCATGAATAACTGAAACCGCAAATGTCCAGTTCGTGCATGTGAAGGGTTACTGTACATTGCCTGGCTAGACTAGTTCATGTTTCTTGAAATGGCAAATGACTGATACTGTAAATGACAGTCAGCTGGTCAGGGAGGCAGCCTAACATTGACTTCACCCCTTTCCCATTGTAATAACTTTTTTTGTTTTGCTGGGTAGAAACTTTTTAAGAGGAAATATTTTATACTTCCAACTGCAAAATAAAATACATTTTTATTGGCTGTGATCAATAATGAAATTAACTCACTATAATTACAGTGATCCCCATAATTCACAACATTATTTTAATTATTATTTTAGTGTGGATCGACCAGCTAAATGGAAAAAATGACTAATGCAAAGTGTTCACCTTAGTCAACACAGTTTCAAGTGAAACTTTGTTTATCTGTCTGCAGTGACACACCATTTAGTGCCTGTGATTTTAACCCTACCTTGAATAACTCCACTGAAGGAAGTTGGGTCAACATTGTAACCCTGGGCCTGAAGATCCACTGCAACCTTACTGTTCAGTGTGGCAATTGCAGTGGAATTCACACTGTTTGCCTTCAGTACAAAATCTGTAACCACACTGCCATTCCTGTCAAATAAAATACAGGAATATTGTCTAACAGAAATAATGAGTAATAATGTGTTTTGAGTATTTATAAAATGTATGTTATTCTTCTTAAATTCAATACTGCTATATTTGCCCTAATAATATAAGTATTACTATTGAGAGTATTACTATTACACTATTACCAATAATTATGATAAGGAAGAGAAAAAAACAAGCAGAATATGTAAATATATTGTGTTTTAAAGAGAGAACTTACCTGAAGCCAAGGACATAGACTTCAACAAAACCATTTAAATTTCCGTAATTTTTAGTGAGCTGGGAAAAAGAACAAATTTCATGCTAAACAAAATGCCTGCTTAAGAAACTGCTTTTTTCCAGTTTCTTCAAACAGTAAATTGATATGTACTATGCTGATAACATGCTGATCATCAGTTGTATAGCAGAGTAATACACAGAATTATAAACTGATAGATTTGCTTTAAAAATATAAGTTGGCACAACATATAAATTACATAAAAAATATATTTAAGGTAATGTGTGTATTGTATATATCTGAATGTTGGAAGTATTTAAGAACATATACTTACAGTTGGTTCTATGTCTGATTTAAATGTTTTGAACATTGAGCTTGATGAATTAGCCAAATGTTGGTCAAAGGCGAGTAGAATTTTAAATGACATCTCCAATGTAAAATCTTTAAAAGATGAAAGCAAATTGTAAATTACTGAGAATTAAAACTTTTTCTTTTTGATCAAGAAATTGTTTTCCATGATCACCAGTCATTTAGAAATGCATGCATGCAATCGTGAAGGAGAGAGTTTGATATTGGGGGTGGGGGGCAACTTAAAAATTTAAAGGTCTATTTTTTGGGGGGGTGGGGGCAATGAAGCCAAATTAAATATTAGTGGTATATGTTTTGCCGTCCCATGAAAAACTACAAAAAAGCTGGGGTCTTCTTAAACATGCCAGGCAGTGAAAGGGGGGCAGGCCTCCCCCATGATTAATTTTGACATTTTGCCACCTGGGAAACCCCCCAAGCCCCCCCAACATCACAGACAACCTTTGACATTTCCTGGGTACAGCAAAAATGGCCACAACCCAGAAGTCTCACAGGTAAAACAAAACTGATTACACAATGAAAACGTTTCAACAAAACTATTGTTCATTGTTCATTCAATGTCTTTTTTGTCATTCGAATGGCAGAAAATTTAATTTTAGAATTTTTAAAATAAACTTTAATTTATGTTTAGAACATTTTTTACAGGTTAAATGTTTTTCTTACATTGGGGAGAACATACAGAAGACATTGATCATTATGATCAATTATGAACAATAAGCTGATACTGAGACTTTCTGAAAGTAATACAAAGCCAAGGGGATATTTCAGGAAATAAAAATAACAAACAAAACGAAAAGTCAGTTTAGCTGAAAATGTTCTTAAATCCTTTATACCCAATATTTCACTTTCTTAAAATTTTATGGCTTAATAACGATACAATATTGCACATGATGAATAATGATACATACTGACATTTGGAATTTCATGGGAAAAACTACAGAAGGAAGGAGTAAAACTTATAGCAAATTCTGCTAGACTATCCATACATGCTTCTTAAATATAATGATTGAGACTAATAAAGGAAAGAATCAGAGAATATGTGTGTATTTCAGTGAGATAACATCAAGTATACTGAAATGAGATGTTTAAGAAATCACAAAGTGATACAGACGCAAGATGAGATTTCAGCCCATAGACATTCTTGCAAACAAAACAAAATTTCTGCCAATCCTAAAATGATTAGCAGGAAATTCTAGGTAGTTAAATGGAATTTGGAGGGAAGAGGAAAAGCCTGGCTGGCTAAGAACATTCTCAGACATTTAGTGGTACTTTTCGGGAAGAACATGCAGATGACATTAACAATAAGCTGATACTGAGGATTTCTGAAAGTGACACAAAGTCAGATGCACATTTCAGGGAACAGAAATGTGTGCAAACAAGTTTAAATATGTGTTTAGCTAAGAGTATTCTGAAATTCTGTATGCTTCACTTTTTAGATTTCTTAAATGTAAATATTACAAATTATCCTAGAGTCAATGACAGGATGTGAAGAATGACATACATACCAGATGTTGATGTGGTTGTAGTTGGTCTTGCTATTGGTGAAGGTACAGAAGACAGAAACAAGAACTGGAAAATTAGCTCAGGGGAAATCCTAGGTAATTCTTGTTTGGTAAATGTTGGGCTCAGTTTGGGGAAAACATGCAGAGGCAGGAATAATTTCCTTTGGGATAATGAAAGTTCACTGGTTGTGATTTTTCAGACTCTAACTTAAAAAGTTTGAAATACAAAGAAAGTCGAGTTGATCTTTCATGCCGTAGTAAAAAAAAAATAAAAAATTCTGCCTCTCAGAATTTTCTTGAATTCTGCAAGCATAACATTGGTATTTTTGTAGAACTTTATTTAAGGCCATGTTTTTAATAATTTATAAATACAAACATAATGCATTAGAATCCATTCATGAAGCATTGCAAACATGGTTATAAATATTTGTAAAAAGGAATAACACATCATAAGCATGTGTATTATACATTATGACTGACTACCTTATTAAGCTCCAGTGTATAATGCACTATATATTCATAAAGGATACATAATGCATAATTCACATGGCTATATTGTATGCCTTTTGATGAAAATTCATAGCCATGTTTATAATGAATGCATTATTATTTGTCATTATTATTTGTCATGAATACTATGATAAATTACTAAAAACATGGCCCTACATAAAGTGTATTTTGTAATTATGAAATACACTGATTCAGAGTGATCTGAAAATGAATGACACAATCTGATGAAGCTTGATACATACCAGCTGTTGTATTAGATGTTAAAGTGGTGATGTTTGTTACAGGACCTAGAAATGACAGAAAGGACAAGTGGATGACTAGCTAAGATGAAGTTCTACTTAGTTTAAATGGATGTGGAGAGAAGAGAAAAAGTCTGGTTCGCTAAGAACATTCTCAGACATTTAGTTTGGGGCTCAGTAATACGTGTATGTGCGTACTAACCTAAATGCCAGTTTAGCTCTGAACGTTCTGAAATTATCTATGCTTCAAGGTGTATCACCAGAGAGGTTAAAAAGATGTTATTTGCTATGCTATACCACAAGTAACGGCATTTGAGTTTGGTACAGAAAATCTGTTTTGTTTTAATTTAGTGTAGCACCTCTGTCTTCATAGAGAAAAATCTACTCTGCCATTTCAGGGTGGATTCATGATTCAGGCCTGAAATTCTCTTTAGTCTACGCCGATTCATTTCCAATCTTCTTCTTAATATAGGAAATGCAATATTGAAACCATAAAAGATCCTAAATGTTACAGGTATGAGAGAATCACCCAGAAATGCCTCTGATTCAACAACTGGAAAGAACGAAATTAGAAGTAAACAAGAATCGTTCTTACGAGGCTGTGGTTGGTAAAACGGTCCATCACACGGTATTCCATTCTCCATAGTCTAAATGCCGTCACATCTCATATTTGATTAAGGAACATCTAGAAGGCCTATTCATTTCCAATCTTCTTCTTATTATAGGAAATG